GCGGCCCACAAAACAAAACAGAAATGCCCGTCTTGAGCCCAGACTGGTCGTTGCTCCATCGAGTGCGTCAAAGTGTTGGGGGGGAGCAGGAAAAGGGGGGGCAGGAAAAGGGGGGGGCAGGAAAAGGGGGGCAGGAAAAGGGGGGGCAGGAAAAGGGGGGGGCAGGAAAAGGGGGGGGGGTCTGGCACCACGGCCCGAGGCACGTGCGCGGACGAGGGGTGTCAGCAGGCGCGTTGAGAGAACACGGGGACATGCCGGGAAGGTCGCGTGGCCCCGGGGCCATGATCTCGTCGCTGTCGCCGCCAATGTGAGAAAGATGCGGGAGGGTTGGTGGGATGTTTGCACGCGCACCCGAGGTGGTGGCTACGCGCGGCTGCATTCAAAATCAAATGCGCTTTCCCCACACAAACTGGACTTCACCACCTTTCCCAAGTAGGGCTAACGGAACTCCCTGGGACACTTCAATTTACATATGACCCCGCCCCATCATTCATGTTCACTTTGAATTCGCAGCATCCAAAGCCAGCCGGTATCGACAACCCCCCAATCCTGTCAAATAACACGATGCGGGCACACTCGTTCATTTCAGAAGATTACGTTTCAATCATACCTTGCGAAACAAACACCAACTTCACACGCGCACGCACAAGTCGAAATCATACCAAGCACACACACACACAAGTAAAGCTAACCTTCGGTTTTTGTCCTAAGGAGCCTTGTACATGATTTGCCCACGCGCACTTGCAGAAATCATTGGAAATCTTCACGAATATCGCAACATCGTCCAGAGCCCGCGTGTTCATCTCACCGTGCGGAGCATCCGCTCTGATCCAGCGGGCGCCAGTGCAGAAATTCGTACCAAATCTAACCATGCGGGCCGCACGCGCGCGCGCCGCCACGCGCGCGTCGAAATCTGCCCAGAGAGACTGGTTAGTCAAGAATTGCACACCAGACATTCTCAAACATCTGAAACACCACAATTTTTTGACAACATGAATTCTGTCATGTTTCCCTCATTTCCGCGCGCGCGCGCACTTCCGCACCAGCACCCTCATCAGCGCCGCCGCATCACCGCCGTCCGCCATTGCCGCCATCAACAGTCAATCACTTTCATCACCGACACATGAACATCACCATCATCATCATCATCATCATCATCATCATCATCAGTATCGTCATCGTCGTCACCAACATCGGCACCGTCAGTGGCCTCGCCGTCGTCGTCGTCACCACCACCGCTACAATAATATCACCATCGTTGCCGCCATTGCCGCCTTCATCATGAGACTGCACCCGCCCGAATCACCGACCCGCACTGAAGTGCCCGTGCGCCAGCGCGGCCTTTGAGACACGCTGGGAGGTTCTCACCCGTGAGCGCCATCACGGCCGCATCGGCGGCTGTGCCAAACCAGCTGGTCGCTCTTCGCGCGTGCTTGCGCGCGCCAGTGCAGCCGCAAAGATACGCCAACCAGTGCCAAGTAGTCACCGCAATCACGGTCACATGGGTTATGCAAAACAAGTTGCGGGTGTTAGGATGCGGTGAGTATGCGAGCAGTGGAATTGACGACTTCAAGCTGTGCAAGGTGGGCACACGCCCCTAGCCCTCACCCTTCTCTTACGGTAGGGAGCTTTTGCTCAGCGTGTCGCGGCGGCGGCCCTGGCGACACGCTATGCCCTGCGAGCGGATAGCGTGTCGCCCCGCTCTGCGGTGCGGAAGGCTTGAAAAGGATCGGGACGCTCACGCCTTGGAATTGAGAAGCGCGCCGAAGCGCCGTGGGCGGCGAGCCAGCACTGGCAGCGCGACACGCTGAGAAAACGTTCCTTACCATAGTTTGGGGTTTGGGAACGGTGCGGTGACAGAACGTGCGGCGACATTGAAATCTCAAAAGACCGCACGGCAGGGTCCGTCACCGCACCGTCGGGACCTTGGAGGCTCCAGTCGCTCGACGTGCCCTCGGAGAACGACCCACGACCCAAAACCGTGCGGCCACCCCGAATCCCCGAATCCCCACTGCCTCACACGGCGTGGTGACCGCACCGTTTGGGAGCCCCCGAGCCTTCCTGACCGCAGACGGCCCCGGTTCCGGCGCACTGGCTGAACTCCGACAGGGCGGCGTGGGGGAAGAGCACCACCCCCCCCCCGCGCTGGCGGGAACCCGGGCGTGGCGCGGGCGCGCGCGCGCGGCCGGCATGGAACACCCAATGGCTGGACGTTCTTTTTTTGAGCGGGACGGATACCCAGGCACGGAGGAGGGGCCCTCGCCGAGCCCTGAGACTGTCAAAAAAGGCTCGGGATGAAGAACTGGCCCCCTGGGGTTGAGGGCCCGGACTTCCGAGGACCCCGCTTGGAAAAGTCAGGTATGGCGGGGACTGGCTCCGTCGGCATGGCGCATGGCCTGGTGCGCCGTGGGGCCTCACATGAGGGGCATCGATAGGGGGGACTCCGAGCGGACTCTGAAAGCTCCTCCAGGGAGCGGCCGTTTGGGGCAGGGGCTGGTGC